GGATCGTTCACAACTTTGTTCCGTCTAAAAATTTTTTTGTTGCGCCTCCATGGATGATCCAATGGTAAAAATCTGCGATGACAATCAAACCAACATGGTTTCCGCCCATGTTTTAATTGAAATGAATCAATCTCATTCATGCAATAAGGACATGATAAACGTCCATGAGTACTCCAGCTAGACAACATTCCATAAGCCGGAAAATCACTGATTGTCCACATCAACACTGCTCTCAAGTTGAAGTTCTGCCTTGTTGAAACGTCATACGCATCAACACCTTGTTCCCACAACATCAATAATTCATCAATCAAAGGTTGGAGGAACACATCAAAACTCTTCTCCGTATGAGAAGGTCCCGGCAGTAATATCGTCAGAAATAAAAACTCTCTTTTCAAACACATTTCCGGCGGTAGATTATACGGCGACAACACAATTGGCCATAATGAATATTGTTTCCCAGACTGACCATATGGTGCAAATCCATCAGTGCATAAACACAGATAAACATTTCTCACCTCACAGGCAAAATCAGGATATAGCTGCACAAAATGCTTTCATGCCTTACCATCTGATGGATGACGCATGTTGCCTGAATCTGAAACATGTTCTCCGTGCCAACGCATCTGAGATGCTGTCTTGTGAGGTTCATATAATCTCTTCAATCTGTCTGCTATCGACAAATAAAACATCCGTTTATACAGCACTCTTTTACGTTGCACATTTTTCCTGGGTTTGAATCGATCAGCTCCACAAAATCGACAATTCGATAACTCTTTGTCATCTCCAGACCAAAAAATCATGCAGTTGTTCTGGCATACATCGATTTTGATAGCCCTCGTGCCTAATGATCCCATGAGTTTAGACATATTGTAGAAAGAATGAGGAGCATGGTTACCTCCAGGAAGATAATCGGTCACCATCTGACATACCTCGTCCATACAATTCTCCGTCAGATTATAACTCGACTTCATGCCCATCATTCGTGCTGAAAGAGATAATTGGATAATCCTTTTACGCACCCTTCATATATAGGTTGATTAGCTGCCTCCAACAAATCAAAAAACTTCTTTGATTCGTTGTTCGCTTCTTCATCTTCCCTGTTAGAACAAAACTGAGAAGGGAATGCATCTTGAACCATATCAACGTAACGGTTAGATGGCCTCCCAACAAATTTGTCGTTAATGGTAGGAACATTAACAACATCGAGCGTTTCACCGTGATAAATCCATACATAATAATTTGGAACAAAACCTCTTTTGAATAGATGTTTTATAACCACCTCTGGAGTAAGAAATTTAGTATTTTTGCATCGTGCACACGGACAATATATTTTACCCGTTCTTACGCACTGATTCTGACTTGTCGTAAATTGCATGAAATTCTACAACCCCTCTTCATACTGGATGCTTAAACTGCCCGTAGATGCATCAATTCTCTCGTATAACCATCGTCTAGAGTGATAAATATCATCTCCACTCGATGTCATTTTTTTTTACGATATTTTGAAGTTTGAACGGGAAGAGAGAGGAGGGGAAGGATTTTATAAAAATTTTTGCAACGCAATTTCGTTGCTAATCTAGAAAACTAGCAACGAAATTTCGTTGCAACGTAAAAACCGGTTAATAGACTTCACCGTTTTGCAACGCAATTTCGTTGCTAGGTTTCTAGATTAGCAACGAAATTGCGTTGCAAAAAAGACTTACAATGCAATTTCGTTGCTACCAGAAAGCGCAATTCTGACACCGAATAATTTTCGTTGCTAATACCATGAGCAACGAAATTGTTGCGTTGCTACGTAGCAACGAAATTGGATTGCGTGGCAAATGCGTTGCAAAACGTTATACGTTACAACGAAATTTTCGTTGCTAATAGCAACGAAATTGTTGCATTGTAAAAGCGTTGCTAGGCGTTGTCGTTGCGTTGCAAAATCGTTGCAACATTTTCGCCCGTCAAATAACGTTGCTAATCGTTGCAAGTCGCAACGCAGTTTTTCGTTGCTACGTAGCAACGAAAAAAATGCGTTGCTAAGCGTTGCAAAAACGTGTGAATTCGTTGCTATTGCGTTGCAAATTTTTTTCGTTGACAAACGTTGCTAAAGCGTTGCAAAATTTGCAACGAAAATTATTTCGTTGCAAATTTCGTTACAAAATCGTTGTTTTTTTGTAGTGAATTAGCTATGGATTTGCGTCGAAAATTTCCGTCGCAAATACTAATTTCATTTATTTTGTTATTTTCGATGAAAAATTTTCAAATTTTCGCGGTTTTCGAAGTGCGGTTTATGTCAATGGAAAGAGGTTTGATGAGCTCGTTGTTGGGGATGTAGCCATGCCCATGGTATGAACGATCTCATTCGACAAATTGGTTTTCTTTTTTTGTGAAAATAGAAAAGGGTGGATATACTTTGTCAAACTTTAAGAAAATTTTGATGTTTGCCAAATGATGAAAGGTTTATAATTGGGCAGGGTGGAAAGCAAAGGGGCTATATATATAGAATATATGCATATATATGTATATGCGATCAATATAACATATGTATATGCTTCAACTTTTTCAGCAAAATGGACGTGATTGTTGGCATTGGACCATTCATATTTTTGGACCCGTTTTGATGGGCCGACTAGTCTGGTCGGTAAGCTACGTGGATTGGATCCATATCCAATCTCTTATAATGAATTACGTATGTACGTTCGTCTCCGTACGCTAGCTACTGTATTCCAATCAATATCCAAACTTAAGCGGCTCGTAATGTAACAGCATAGCTATGCTGAAAAATCTCAATTTCTTTGAATAATTTCCTGATCTTATATATGGTTATTGAGAAGGCTAGACTCCGTAGAGGCACGCATGTTATGCCATTATAATTAAGAGCCGAGTTATTTTCAAAGGATTATAGTCCTAAGGAAAAGTCCCCAAACGTTATGTATTCAGTTACATACATATAAACAGACATATATGTATATGTATGCATGTTTACATATATATATATATATATATATCAACTTAGATGAAATAAAAAAACTGAGACCAAAGTGAAGTGGAAGCATATTAAATCTTCAACTTTGCACAATCCCAAGGTGCTTCTATTTCCGTGTTCATCTTCTTTTTTCTCGTAACATTTTTTTTTAATTGACACGAAGGATTACGCGGAGGTGACGCGTCTTATCATCTTTCCATCAATATCCCAATTAAAAAATATATATATATATTATATGATTTTTTGCAATCATTTTTTTTCCAGCGACAGAGACCGCAAAAGCATGAAAATCGACGAAAACTTAGCTAGCATATATTATAGAAAAAAAGTAGTAAATTTCGCTATGCAATCTCAATATTCGGATCCTTCATTTTCTTATATATATATACATATATATAAGTATCCTTCATTTGAGAAAGTGTGAGTTCGAGTGAAAAAAAAAAGGTGCGTATTAATAATAGGGCATATGCGATATATCTGCGGGTAAGTAAATCGATGATAAAACTTGAGGTGACGAGCGGACAAAATCAAGATGGGGCATTGTCACGTATCAGATTCGTACCAGAGAGCTCTGAATAAATTTAATGAACGTCTTGGAAACGAAAGTGGGACCTTTGATCTTCATTGATGACGGGACCGCGAAATAATGCATACTTCTTGCGTCGTAATTATGATATGACATACCACATTCTTGATTGTGTCCACCGATACATACATACATACATATATATATATATATATATATATATATATATCAATACCAAAAGAGCTGGATTTAAATATGGAGATCTCATTTAGACCCATCTCATTAAATTTATTAGAACTGGTATTTTATGATCGCACCCCAAGTTTTGAATGTGTGTATATATATATACACATACACACCAAAAGATCAGGATTTAATTATGGAGATCTCATTTAGCACCCATCTCATGAACGATTATCAATATTAAAAATCTGTCCTACCATTATTTTATATGATACACAGTATCTAACATCTAATTAACTTTTATTATAAATGTCGAATTTATCGGGGAAACAAAAAGAAGAAAACAATCTCATTACCTGATATATTTTGTAAGCTTCAATTTTCTTTTCGATGGACCTCCATGGTTTTAAATAATTATTTTATTTTGGGTTGACACTTTAAATAAGTACTGTTTAATTATAGTTGTTGTCGTTGCTCTGTCACTGATATTTGGAATTATTGATGGTTTTAAGATTTGTGCGGTTCAACAAATATCCGATTTCGTTCCTTACCCTTGTTCTTAATTATATACAGTAATAATATATATTTATTATGCGACAACTGGATATCTTACGTCATATCTGTATTTTTCATACGGATTAATCACTAGGTCTATCATTAGAAAAAAAAAACATAGAATTCCAATCATTTTCGCCTTTCCCTGGATACTTTATTCGTGTTCATCATTTTTCAACACCTAATCCCAAACATGATAACAACTTGGAAAACGTGAGTGTTTTACGACTCTATATAATCAAAATTTATTCGTAGCTAACGTGCGTGTATATATATATATATATACATGCATTTGTTTTGGTAAATCTACGGCTGTTAATTTAAATATGCAGCGTATGCGGGCTGATATAAGTCTTGTGGACTTGGAACGTATAAAGAATTAAATGTAGGTTCTAATATAATTCGAGAGAAATCTGAAAATAAAACCCCATCCATGGAAACGGTTGTTGAATTGTGGTTGGGATCGTTAGCTCAGAAGAACATGCATGTGCGCCCACTACTCCCATTAGTTATACGTCTATACGTGTGTGTGTGTGTATATATATATAATATCCGCATTAATTAGATACAGATATACATATCTAAATCGGTTGAATCATACGCGTTTTGTTCCTCAACCAATATTTTTTTTTTATTGACAGTGAGTCTAAAAACGGTAACTCTCTCACGCATGCCGTTTAACTGCATGAGTGAAAACAGTCTATGCATGGCTCTCTATAAAAGGCAGAGGCAAATGCAAGTGTTGCTCATCAAACAAAACCCTAAGCTTAAAATAGAAAATACAGAGAGGAGGAAATGGCGACGTCGGGAACTTACGTGACGGAGGTGCCGCTGAAGGGATCGGCCGAAAAGCATTATCGACGGTGGAGGAACGAGAACCACCTCTTCCCCGAAGCCATCGGCCACCACATCCAGGGCGTTACCGTCCACGACGGCGAATGGGACTCCCACGGTGCCGTCAAAATCTGGAACTACACTTGCGGTATTCCTCTCTCTCTCTCTCTATATATATATATGTATATATGCCACCACCCTTTACATAAATCGCATGAATGCATGGATATCTATTTATGTTTTTGTCCGTCTATCTAAAAAACGGCCGTCTGATTATCAGTTGTGCACTCAGAGAGGAATTTGCTTGAGTTTAACATATGAGATTATCATTATATATTGATTATAATGATGGGCTGTGTTATATATATATATATGCGTGAATCGTGTACCTATGAACGTGGATACAGATGGGAAGCAGGAAGTGTTCAAGGAGAGGAGAGAGATAGACGACGAGAAGAAGGCGGTGACGTTTGTGGGACTGGAAGGGCACGTGATGGACGAGCTGAAAGTGTACAATGTGATATTCCAATTCATACAAACTTCGGAAGATGGGTGCGTTTGCAAAGTCACTATGATTTGGGAGAAACGCAACGACAATTCTCCCGAACCCATCAACTACATGAAGTTCGTGAAGAGCCTCGCCGCCGACATGGACCATCATATCATCAAGCAGGCCTAAATTTCTATGGATTATCCATCCATGCACGATATCCATGGATTATATTAGTAATAATTAACAATAAAACATGTTTCTGTTTGTTGGTCTTTTGCAAGATCTCTGCTACTAAATGCAGAGCGTGATCGTATTGTTTTTATATATATGTTTGCATGTATGTAAGTTTGAATAAGAAATCCGTGTGAGAGATGGGTGTTTTATGTATAAAATCCATATTTTACATTGATTTGTCGAAGTGGTATACTTTACTTTGAATCAGGAATACGTAAGTGTGAAGAGATTTATAGGTACGATATATCATAGAGTGAATATTTTATCTCAGAAAAAACCGCTCAAGATCTAAATAAATTTGAATATTCATATTTTTTATAGGGATAAATTATGACGTTTCCACAATGCTTATCCAATAATCAAGTTTGTTAGTGCAATTATTTGCACATATGTTGTTTTGATTGTTAAGTGGATAATGTAGGTTCAACAACCTTGAGAGATTTTAGGAGAGAAATCCAGCAAGATACAATTTAAGATATTTTGAGTTAATTCCGAAGAGTTAGAGAAAAAGTCAAAGACTAAGAGATTGAGATGGACTCAATGTCAACCACTTGGAGAGATTTTAGGGAAAACAATCTGAAGAGATAGAGTCAGGAAGTTTAGATTTGACTTGAAGAGATGAAGATAGAATCAAAGCTAATAAGATTTGAGGAGATTTGAGAAAGACAAGACCTTGGAGATAAAGTCAAAGACTTAAAGAGAAAGGTAAAGATGAGATCTTGGATATAGAGATGAAATCGAAGAGAATTAAAGAGGAGTCTATCAAATCAATTCGTGGAGATCTAAGGCGAACTGGATGAGCCTATATAAAGGAAACACAAGCTGCATATCAGTTCTCACGGAGAGCAAAACAAATTTTACTAAAGAGAGTCTTTTTGTTGGTGAGTGATAACTCGCGTTTGAGTGAGTATGTGTCTGATGAAGAGAGCGATCGGGCAAATCTCTTTTCTCTGTTGAGTGTTTGGACGTGGATATCTGAGGGGGAGACCTAATGGAAAAATCTCTGTTTCTTTGGTGATCGTTTATGTTTGGTAAGGTTTTTTATCAGTAGAATTCATTGTGAGAAGGAGTTGAAACTCAGGGGGAGTTTCATCTCGGTGTTGAATAGCTCTAACAAAAAGTGAATTGTACTTAACTGTTTTTTCTCAAGTAAATAGAACTGGTTAGTTTTTTCGTTTTATTTTTTGGGGGTCCAACTTTTTCAAAGTTGATAATTATTAAAAAAATCGGGAGAATAGTTACACTGTAAAAAAAATATAAACTTTTTAAAAAACTAAAACAACAAATTGTCACGGCTGTGTATGCTAGTCCTAGATCAAAGGAGAGGTTGCAGCTTTGGCAGTACCTAACCCAATTATCAAGACAAATTCATGATCCTTGGTTTGTTGGAGGAGACTTCAACACTCTTGCCTTCTCTTCGGAAAAAATAGGGGGAGCTACAATATCAGATAGTAGATGTAGGCCTTTCAGGGATTTCATCGATGAATGTAAGTTGTTGGATCTTGGATTCATTGGCTCTCCATTCACCTGGAAGAGAAGCCATGTAGAGGAACGACTAGACAGAATATTGGGGAATTTGGAAGGGATTTCGATGTTTTCTCATAATTCTGTCTCACATCTAGTTCGGATAAAGTCTGATCTGTTGAAGAAAATAAAAAGAAAGAGACGTTAGAGACTTTCACGGAGAACCAAATCTTATGCAATCAATCCACACTTGTCTCATTTGTATCAATTGTCAAATGTTTCTTTTTGTTTCAAATTCTCTTATGGTTCATTCCTTTTTTCTTTTTCTATATTTTCCTATTTAATAAGCCTTTGCATAACATTTGATTAATAAGAAATTCTGGAGAGTATCACATCTTCATCTTCACGTGATTCTCCTTTGGTTGTTCTACTCTTTGTCTCTCTTATCAATCATTCATAATCTTTTTTATATAATTTCTCACATTGTATCAGAGCAAGATCCATGGTGATCACTATTCTCTTTTCCGCTGTATAATTTTTCAAGAAAAAAACCCTATCCCTTTTGTAATAAACACCAAAGAGGAGAGAAACATGACATACGGATTGGCGTATGAAGATTTCAAGGTCATAGCAACCTTTGAGTACATCCGAAAATTCAAGTTGCTCCAAAATGCATGGAGTAACATGCTTGAAGAACAAAGAGACAAGGCGTTCAAGGGTGTTTGGGATAGAATCAAGGAGTTTCATCCCGATCTAAGCATCGAAACGCGTAAATTAAACTCTATACTTTTCTTGGATTTTTGGATGGTATACACAACAAACTAATCTTGCAGGTTATAAAAGCCAAAGGGAAAATATCCCTCATGGAAGCAAAAATGATGTGGTGCGAAGAACGCACTCAAAACATCATAAACGAGGAACAACACGAGTGGTTGTCTGAAGAAGAGATGACCGATCAAACCGTCCGAGAATTCTTCATTGAATACATGACGCCTATTCATCCACAACGCGAGGGGGAATGTGAGGAGATCATTCCCACGTGTGTGGATGATGGGAGGTTAAATGAACAACTTAATGAAGAGGGTGAAGAAAAAATGATACAAATCGAAGAAGTCGAACACACGGGAAAAGTAGGAACGGATTGTTCAAAAGAAGAAGAAGAAGAAGAAGGGAATCAAATGGAGTTCGTAAAGGACGATGACCTACAAATGGAGGCAAAGAACCCCGAAAATGAGGCATCATCTATGGAGAACAACCTTGTCCCATTCGTTCTTCCCAAGGCAAATCCGATCATGCATTTCCAATGCATCGACAATAGAGTTTGTCATTCATTCTTCTCTCCAATTCACTTTGAGTTTGTTATTCCAAATGATATGTTTGGTGTTTTAAGTGTCATTGGGCAGAAAATAAAAGACACGCTCATGATGAGACGTTGGAGTACAAAGCAAACAAACTCAATGGAAGTCCATATACAGAGGCAAAAGTCGAAGTGTGAAAAAATATCCGAAGAAAAGGTAACATTACCTATAAGTTTATACAACTATAAGCTTGGTAAAAACACTCTCAAACTTTATGTTTTTTATCCCGGAGAACATATTCAAATCTTGCATAGTGAACAAAACATATTAGTTCGAAACACTCTTGCCCATGAAAGTGGTATAAACGATATGTTTCTAACGTTTAATGAAAATTTGAATATCATGCTTAGTTTAGAATATAAATCAAACATGAATCTAATCATAAAAATAATATTTCACGTTTCAAAAATATTAAACTTAGCATTTATGCACATTAGAACACTATTTTTACTCTTATTCGATGAAGGACATATTGTTGAATGTTTGCAATCGATTTTTCGTATCAAACGGAGCCTCCCTTGCGATTTCTAACAAATTTGTTGAGTTTATACAGAAAAGGATGTGTGTTATGGTGGATAAACCAAAGGAAACGTCATGGAAAACGATCACACACTTGAAGGAGAATCGGCATGAACATGAAGACATATGCTCGTCAAGATTAGTTTTTCGATATTTCTCCAAACTAATCTTGAGGGGGAATGTTGAAGAAAATAAAAAGAAAGAGACGTTAGAGACTTTCACGGAGAACCAAATCTTATGCAATCAATCCACACTTGCATCATTTGTATCAATTGTCAAATGTTTCTTTTTGTTTCAAATTCTCTTATGGTTCATTCCTTTTTTCTTTTTCTATATTTTCCTATTTAATAAGCCTTTGTATAACATTTGATTAATAAGAAATTCTGGAGATTATCACATCTTCATCTTCACGTGATTCTCATTTGGTTGTTCTACTCTTTGTCTCTCTTATCAATCATTCATAATCTTTTTTATATAATTTCTCACATGATCATTGTCCAATCCTCTTCAATTTATTGGATAGAGATGAAAGAGGCTTTGATAGAAATTTTAAATTTATGGCCGCTTGGATAAGTCATCCTCAGTTTAATGAGTTTGTGAAGCAGGCCTGGCAACCTTCCCACAATATTTTGAATACAATTAATGAATTCTCGCGGCAAGCAACTCAGTGGAATAAACATATATTTGGGAGCATTCACAGACGGAAGTCGAGACTTATGGCTCGAATTACCTTTAGACAGTTTTCTTCTAGAATTAGAAAGTTTACTTAAGAGAGAGTTTGAACTCGTGCTCCACCGGGAGGAGCTTTTCTGGTTCCAGAAATCAAGGGCTGATTGGATTAATAGCGGGGACAGAAATACAAAATTCTTTCATGCAAAAACGATGATCAGGCAGAAGAGGAACAAAATTTTCCAATTGAGGGATATGGATGGGCAATGGGTTTTGAACGAGGCTCTTCAGAAGTTAGTGGTTGGTCACTTTGAGAAGTTATACTCTGAGGATGATATTGGTAACCAGAAGTGCCTTAGAGGTATGTTCCCACAACTAGAACCAGACAGATTAGCGTGTACTGCAGCACCCCCTTCACCGAACGAAGTTTACAGTGCCCATGCATCCTTTCAAAAGCCCAGGACCCGATGGTTTGAGTCCAATTTTCTATCAAAATCAATGGGGTATAGTTGGTAAAGATGTCGTAGATTTCATTACCAAGATTTTTGACGGAAATCTTCTCGATCCAGAGATCAACTATACATTAATCACCCTTATCCCAAAGGTTCAACATCCTGAGTTGGTTAATCAGCTACGTCCGATCAGTCTTTGCAATGTCATCTATAAGATCCTTACAAAATTGATAGCAAACCGCATTAAACCCCTCCTCCCCGAGCAGGTAGGACCGGAACAAAATAGCTTCGTGCCTGGACGCCATGTAACGGACAATATCATCATGGTGCAAGAACTGATACATTCCATGGATAGATTGAAGACCAGACGGGGCTTTATGGCAATAAAAGTGGACCTCGAAAAAGCTTACGATCGAATAAGGTGGAGCTTTGTTGAGGAGACATTAATGGAGATTGGGCTCCCCCAAACTCTCCGACACATTATAATGCAGTGCTTATCCACAGTTTCTATGAGCATCATTTGGAATGGGAAAAGATCAAGATGTTTCACACCGACAAGAGGTATTCGACAAGGATGTCCTCTTTCTCCCTATATTTTTGTCCTATGTATAGAGAGATTGGCTCATCTAATTAAGGATTTTTCCGGAATTCAAGTATCTCCCTGCATTAAGGGAAGATAAATGGAGGGGTTTCCAAGTTAAACGAGGCGCTCCTCCCATTATGCACCTTTTCTTCGCCGATGATCTAATTTTGTTCGCGGAAACATCTACATCCCAGATGCAGACAGTGTGTGATGTTTTGAATGTGTTCTGTGAGGCGTCCGGGGAAAAAGTTAACTCGAGCAAAACTCAAATACATTTTTCAGCTAATGTTAGTTTGGCTCTGAGAGATCAGCTCGCAGCGATGGCAGGGTATTCTGTTGCAGATGACTTGGGAAAATATCTTGGTATCCTTGTGTTCCACGCTAGGGTTTCGAAGAACATGTTCGATTTCATTATTGAGAAGACTGCTTCACGTCTAAATGGTTGGCAGAGCAAATTGTTGTCCCTAGCAGGTCGGATCACTCTCACCAAGTCGGTGATCAATACTATTCCAGCTTATATCATGCAAACAATTAAAATTCCTTCCTCGGTTTGCAATGAGTTGGATAGGATAATGAGAAACTTTGTTTGGGGATCTACCGAGACGAAGAAAAAGATCTCATTAGTGAATTGGGGATTAGTTTGCTCGCCTTAAAGTTGCCGTGGACTTGGTATTCGACCGATGTAAAGATTTAATAGAGCTTTTCTGATGAAATTGGCGTTCAAATTCCTTACATGCAATGATGAGTTATGGGTCCAATTATTAAGATGCAAATATATGTCTAGTAGTAACCAGTATGGGCATACACTTCCAACCCATAGTGGCTCGATCATTTGGCAAGGCATAAAATCGGTGTGGCAGTCAATGAGGGGTGGTTGTGCAAATTTGGTACAAGATGGAAAGAATACCGATTTCTGGCGTGATAATTGGGTTGAGGGAGATAAATCTCTAATAGGGTATGTGCAGGAGGAAATACGTGCTTGTATTTCTCCGATATCAGTGGTGGATTTTGTATCTACCGAGGGGTCGTGGATATGGGATAATTTTGCAACACTCATTCCTCATGCCACGTGTCTAAGAATTGCGAGTCAACCCCCTCCTAGACAGTCTGCAGGTACGGATAAGATAATATGGAGTGGTTCTCAAAATGGAAGTTGTTCAGTTAAAAGTGTTTATATGTATTTATGTCCAGATATAAAGAATTATTCTTCCTCAATCTGGTCGAAAGTGTGGAGATGGAAAGGTCCTGAGAGAATAAGAGTCTTCCTCTGGCTTGTATTGCATCAGAAGCTTGTGACCAATGTTGAAAGAGTGAAACGGAATATTGGTCTCAATAAAAACTGTCCCATGGGCTGTTTGTAGGAAGAATCTGTATTACACGTGTTAAGAGATTGCAGGATAGCGAGACAAATATGGACGAAGCTTGTCAACTCCTCGGCTCAATCGGCTTTCTTCTCGAGCGGATTCTTGGACTGGTTTGAGAGTAACCTGAATAGCAGATGGAAGTTTCACTTGTTGTCATGGAGCGGTATTTTTGGGATTACTTGTTGGTTTCTTTGGCGTTGGAGAAATGAGTTAATCTTTCAACATAGAGGTCATCCCAAGAGAATGGAACAGATAATACTCGGGTATGCTCAGCAAATTCATGAACTCGAAACAGCTAACCCGATAGCCTCCACAAAACGACCCAGAATGGAGAGGTACACTTACTGGACGGCACCTCAGCCCGATGTAGTGAAAGTTAATACGGATGGAAGCGTTCGGGGTCATCTTGGTCTTGCTTCAACAGGTGGTCTGATTAGAGATCATTGGGGTAATTGGCTGGTGGGTTTCTCTTCGAACCTTGGGATATGTTCAGTTTTCATAGCCGAAACTTGGGAACTCCTTTCTTGGTCTAAGATTGGCTTGGGATCGTGGGGCAAGAAAAGTCGCAGTAGAGGTGGATAACCAGGCCTTGATTACCGCTATCCAAAATTATCGAGGAGAATCTTCAATTGAAGGATCTATGATTGTTGAGATTCAAGAGTATTTAAGGAAGCCTTGGAACATATCATTGAACCATATCTTCAGAGAAGCTAATTCATGTGCTGATCATCTAGCTTTCATGGGACATACGCTACCTTGTGGTCTCACTCTCTTTGAAGTTCCGCCTCCCCAAATGGTCCAACTTTTAATGGCAGATAAGATTGGTGTCTCTTATAATAGATTGGGCAAAGTGTAATTGATTGAAGCTTTATCGTTTATATCCCAAAAAAAATAACAAATTGTCAAAAAAATCCACCACGTGGCGATCGAGTGGTCAAATTGAGGATGACAAAAAATCACCCAAGGATGCAGTCTTCGACTCAGCTGATGGGGAGAGGCGTGTTTTGGACCTTTGCTGCTGATACAAAGGTTGATACAAGATTTAGGATGGATGTACGGGATCGAAGTCGATGAACCATCTTGGTTATAAAAAAAGTTGTCAAAAAAATTAAATACACAATGCTTATCCAATAATCAAGTTGATAGATATTTATAAAAAAAATCGGGGGTGACACACGATTAATTGACAACAAAAATATCAAACCAATAAACAACTTGGCGTCTATGGATGAATAGTATTTATAGTTAGAACTTCGATGGCGCCAATTTAGTTCATGGGGATGGGGATATCGTCGGGCAATGCCTCTAAAGGAATACTTGTTAGTAAAATAAAGAAACGTGCGCGGACGTCATAATCTATGCTCTCAAAAAATGTGATGAAAATAAAGACCACGTGTGATGCCATTTTTATGCATGTATCTGTGAAGATTATTCGTAACAAAAAAATAAAAAGGAAACTGCTTCATTTATGACTGGTCCATACTGATCATTTATAACCATTTAATTCTTCACCCACCATACGTTTCCCACATCTAATTCTTACACCTTCCCAGAAAATATGATAAAAGCTATGGTTGGATCGGACCCTAGGGATGAGGAGCGGATATATAAATATATCCTTCATTTGCTATTTTGATTTCAATCTATATGTCTTTCAAGATGTAATCACTTGACCAAGATGGCCATTATAATACGGTGATCACATTGGATATATATTAAATTTATAATAGTTTCGTCAAATGTTCATATTGATTTGGTGCGATCACTGTAAATCTAACGTTATGATTAATGTGATTATGACCATGTTGTCATTTTTGGCCATATGATCATTATCATTCATTCATTAAAGGTTATGAGTTAAATGGATGGCTTTGATAATATGGGTTACAACTCATATGGGCCGAGACTAACTACATTGAAATTAACGAGTGGGCTAACAAACGAATTAGCGAATGGGTTACAACTCATATGGGCCAAGACTTTGTGGGCTAACAACAGAAACCCATTAATTTACCCGAATGTCTCTGGTCGATTTCAAGGATTGGTACGATTTGGTCGTTCATAATTTTTTTTTTAAAATTATGATATTCGCCACGCATTTCATCTTTACTGTTTTCAATTGGTGTGATCTACATTGCTTATGATTTGTGAATTAGCTTGTGACAAAAAAAAAACATGTACTAGCTCCAAAGAAATTAATTAAAAAAAATGGATATAAAATAGCCATGATTCTACGTTTGTCAACACCTAATTCCAAACGATGATTACAACTTAGAAAACGTGAAGTAGGACTAAACATGTTGCTATCCAACACATTACACATTATTGTGTAAAAATATGATAATATCCCGAGAAAATACGAAATGATCTCTCTCTATATATATGTATATATGTGTGTGTGTGTGTATAAAAACCAAATTAAGCAAAAGGATCCAAAGTGACAAAACACTTGAAAGGAAAATGGCGAGTTCGGGAACTTACGTGGGGGAGGTGTCGTTGAAAGGCTCAGCAGGACAACACTACGGAAGGTGGAGGAATGAGAACAATCTCTTCCCCGACGCCATCGGACACCACATTCAGGCCGTCAACCTCCACCATGGCGAATGGCACTCCCATGGCTCCATCAGAACCTGGCACTACACCTGCGGTCCGTATAATTATACATTTTTTTTATTCTGAAAACGTGAACACGTATGCATGCCACTGTAATGGATATTTATCGGTTTTGTTCCTCCAACGCTTGATAGAGGGAAAACAAGAGGTGTTAAAGGAGAAGAGAGAGATAGACGATGAGAAACAGACTCTGACGGCAATAGGGCTTGAAGGGAACGCCATGGAAGAGTTAAAGGTGATTACTTTCATCTTGCAGTTTGGCCCTAACCCTAACCCTAACCCTAACCCTAGCCAAGGTTGTGTCTGCAAAATCACTGTGGCATGGGAGAAACGCAACGAGAATGCACCCGAACCCATCAGATATTTCAAGTTAGTCAAGCAAATGGTCGCGGAAATGGACGATCACGTCCTCATTCCCTAACCAAAATGCCGTATAACATTAAGAGGCCTGTCCGAATGAGAAGCTGCTTTGATTCGGATATATATATATATATAAAGGCTTCATGATGAAGGCATGTTAAACTACTATATATGGGTTTCATCAATGTTATATACGAAATATATTGAATAAACCTAAACCCATATATGAATATGTTCCTATAGTATTGTTCATCTTTGCAATGTCGTCGTATGTGGAGAATTGTCGCGTCTCATATGGACTGTATGATAATGATATGATATTATATCCGAAGACGAGAGTTTGAATAAGAGCTTTCTGAATGTTGTTGTTATTTTTATATAAATAAATAGCATGAACTATTTCAGGGATTCTTGCAAATTATGGATTCCTAATGGTTTATACTATTTATTGGTAATTATGTATAATTGGTGAATAATATATTATTCATAATTAAATGAATAAAAATAGATGATATAGTCTTTTCCGTTCAAATTTTCAATTCATAATTCTACAACCATAAACAAAAGAAAAACTCAAATCAGAAATGAATCTAAAATATATACAAACTAAAAATCAAATTAAGAGTTTATAATGTGATAATTCTAATAATTGTAATTTATTAATCTTGCGTTTTAATATGAAAAGGTGTGATTTATAAAAATGAATCATCTCGACTTCATTAACAATATTTTCATAATTTAACAAATCTTATTAATATTTTTCTTCTAATAAATCATCCGAGAGTGAGACATCAAGCCAATTAAAAATAGTTTCTATTCGTGGTTAGAACATCAGCGAGGAAAACAATATGCATTTTACGACCGACTTATAATTTTTTTTTGGTAAGAAAAATAGTTTCCTTAACGGATAAAAGAGTTATCTGGTGGCGGTTTAGCCGCTTGGAAATTTGAAAGGGTGCGCTTCACTTGCGGAGAAAGATACGCGTCAAAGACTCGTTCTTTCGCCACAACATGAACCCTAGCTTTCCCCCAATTTATACCTTCCTCTCGT